GGAATCTTAATGAACTTAGCAACATGTGACTGAGCAGCTTTCCTTAGAAGGGGTATCAAAGTTAATCTAGTAGCTATATATCCCTTAACAGGTTACAAAGTGTCTTCACAGGTATCTTATTGGTTCTCAATAACCCTGAGAAATGATTATCACCCCTATTTTACAGAAGGGCCTTGAGCCTGAGAAAGGTGGAATGATGCTTTCATGGCAATCAAGTGATAAGCTAAGATTCACACAGGTACTCTGTCTCCCGGCTCTGAGCTATTCCCACCTCCTCCAAGACTCCATAAGATTTAATGGTCTCCTCGTAGTCTCAGTGTGGCTGAGGCTAAAATTAGAGGGGACAGTCACAGCTTTTAAAGATCAGCCTAGTAAGTCATATCATGGGCATCTCCTCTTATTACTCTTGACAGCCAGATGATGGGAATTACGAAAGCCGGGCTGGTCAGGCTGCACGACACCAAATGGATGAACAACCTTTTTAATAGCTTTCTCTTCCCCGGTCATTGACCAGGACATTACACACAGACTTGCGTCTTCCTGCATCAGAAAAGTTGGCTCAGGGGGAGACTGTTGAACACTTCCCAGAAAGTGGACCAAAAAAAAAACTTGCGCTGGGTCAGTAGTCAAAGAGATTTATAAGTTAGTACCAGAGTGACCCCTACTCAGTGTTTGCTAGTGACTCGGTTGGTCTGTTTGATTTCAGGGAAAGCAAATAAAACTCAGCAGCCAAATGTTTGCTTAGGTCCTGACTTCACTTGGAGAACAAATCTGTGAGGAACATGATAGTAGGAGTCATTTCATGCCTCCTGTACACGATGTTCCTCAGATTGCCTTGTCTTTCCCATCTGCCAAACATACCCCGACTCAGCCTGCACGACCCAGAGTAAATGCCACCTTTCTTGACATCCCTCCTCCAAAACACCCGGTGCTTACTCTTCTCAGAGCTCTTATTGTAATGAATTTTAACTGTTTTCGTGTCGATTTCCCCTATGACTTGCAGTTCTCTAAGAAAAGAGAGCACACCTTTCACCTCTGTATGAAAGACAAATGTTGACCTCCAGAGACGAGCCCCAGAAGCCCAGGGAGTACAGTCAGGGGCTTCCAAACTTCTTTGATCACAACCTACAGTAATAAATACACTTTATATCATAATCCAGTAAACAAATATTTATGGCGATATATACGTACATGATTGTCTTACAAGACTGAAAAGAAAACCTCACAAAATAATACTAATATGAACTGCTACTATCTGGGATTTTGTTTTCTGGTTTAGTCTCTATTATTTTTTCAAATGTTTGTTGATGAAATTTGTGTTCCACTCATGACTGACAACCTGCAGTTTGAAAAATACTGGGGTGACTGACTTCATCTGGCTGCAGCTACTGGATGCCTTCAACCTAGGGCAGGAGGAAGGAGTCCTAACTGCGGGATGCAACAGGGAAGAGAGGAATGAGCGGATAGAGAATGGAGAAAATCTTCCTATTCCCTTTTTAGCCTCTTGGCTTGAGTCTGAACTCCTATCAGTAAGACTGAGTGTTAGAACTAGAATGTTTGCAAGAAACCCTGTAAAACTGTGCACACAAACACGAATGCTTCAGGGTTTAGATCAGGAATGAGTAAACTACCACCTTTGGGCCATACCCATCCAGCTGTCTGTTTTTATAAATCAAGTTTTAGTGGAACACAGCCGCACCCATTAATTTGCATATTGTGCATGGCTGGCTTTGTGTGTGTGTGTGTGGCTGCTTTTGTGATAACTTCAGATCAGGGTAGTTGGGATCAAGGCAGCATGACCTATAAAGCCAAAAATATGTACTATTTGGCCCTTTGCAGGAAAAGTTTGCCTACCTTGGGGAACAGTGTTCCCCAAGCCTCTGGGAGGACACCAGCCTGGCTCTGAGGCATCCAAGGAGCAGCTTCTTTTTCTAAACAGACCATCTTATCCCCGCCGCAGCACTCACAGGCTGGGGACGTGTGCCAGCAGCAGCAGAGCCTGTGCAGGAGAGGCTGACCAGGGCAGATTCTGGGTGGGGACTGCTGCTGCAGTTTGCAGTACTACCTTTGGAAGTATCTGGAAGCACTGAGGGTGTTTGTATTGTGATTGCAAAGATGGGGACCCTTGAGCCAGCTGACACTGGGGGTTCATTTGCATTCCCACTGCCTGGTTGTAAATAAATAATAAATGCATGACTTAAATGAGAAAGGAATTGGCATGTGGCATGGAAACAGAGTATTATCACACCTCCTCTGAAGGCAGTGCCAGAAAAGAGCCTGCATGCCTGCAGCCCAGGACTAGAATTTTCTCTCCTGCATAGAGATCAAAATGTCTTTTCTCCACACCTTTGGCAACTAGTATCAAAGATGAAGAAAAGAATTATAGCTTCTGATAAATAAATATTACATGCTTATCAACTACTCAGCATTATTCTAGGTCCTTTATATGTAGCAGTTCATTCGTATTCTCTTGACAAGAAATTCTACTTGAATCTCATTTTACAATTGAGAAAACTAAAGCACAGAGGGGTTATGTAACTTGCCCAAGGAGAATCAGCTACTAGGTGGCAGAGCCAGAATTTGAAAACAGGATGATCTTTGTCGTTGAAAGACAGATAATAGATTGCTAAGATGTTGCCTCATTCATTGAATCCAGTAGGTTTCCTTTTTTTCCTCTTTGCTGCCATCTAAGAATTCCTTCATTTAAAGATATCAAGGAATATGCCCTTTGTTCTTTCTGGTTTTATCTGTAATTGGTCTAGAGGTGGGCATGTTACTCCATTTGGGTTAATAAGATGTAAGAAGCCTGCTGGGCACTTCTGAAAAAGATCTCCTCTCATGAAAACCCCACTCACAGGCAAAGGTGAGCGAAAGACGGATGGAAGCCAGCTGCTGGATGGTGCTGTAGAGTCACCATCATGTCCTGAAAGAACCTACCTCTGGATTTCTTGTTGGGAAACCCGTACTGTTTAGAACATTTTTAAATGTTCTAACATTTAAAACAGATATTCTGTTACTTAGTCTCCATTCCATTATGCTATTCTATTTCCTTCACAGCTCTGTCCTGATCAGAAAGTACCTTATTTATTGACTTGTTTCTTTATCCCCCACTTTCTCTCCTAGAACATAAACTCCCAAGAACAGGGCTCTCACAACTGCCACTCGCTGCTCTGTCCCCAGGGTCCAGACCATGTCTGGCCAGAGTACTGGGGAATCCAAATGTAAACCCAGGAGGCTCACAGTTCAGTGGGGAAACAGAAAATAAGACAGTTATAATGCAATATAATAAATGTCACCTTAGAGGGAAAAATCACAGAAGAGTGTCTGCTAAGGGGCTATGCCTTGTAAAACCGTTGTTGCCAGTCTGATCTCAGACATTCCCTCCCCGGCCCACCCTTGCCAAATTTTCATAGATAAAAGTAGAAGCCCTATTATTTTAAAGCTTGCCTTTAAAGGAGATTGCAAAGCATCCCTTTAAACCGGGCAATCCAGTTATGCTTGAAGTTTCAGAATAATTTGTGGCCTTTGTTCTGGGCACTTGAGTTTGAGAGAGTCTTGTCTCTACAAACTGGTTTGCTTCTTTGTGGCCTTAGTGGCTCCTAGGAAGTTAAGTGAACTCTTCTCAAGAGCAGTTGTCTGCAGAAAGGATGTGCAGGCCTGGTCATCCCCACCTGCTTATAGGAATGGAGTTGGGCTTGGCTTTCTCCATCCAGCCTGGACTGGCCTGTCAGGTTCCTTCAGGATGGAATCTCTAGAAATTGTAATGTGAACATCCTATGAGGTTGAACACCTGAAAATATCCTGAAAATGGACAGAAACTGTATTGTGACATGATGGTCCTACACAACCAGATGAACAAACGTGTGTGATAATAGACTCTCAGGCTCTGATGTGATTGTCAGATTGGCATGTGGGAGGGCAATGGGAAGGAAGGAATCTCACTGCAGGAAGTAGGGATGTCCACTGTCTATAACTCTGGGGAGTGGGAGATCTTGGGATGAGAGACCAGAGAGATAGGCCTCAGACCTGAGGAATGAGGACACTCCTCTCTCTGGGGAAGAGCTAGGCAAGCTTCTTCTGTAAATATCCAAATAACAGATGTTTTAGGTTTTGCAGGCCATACCTACGGTTACTGTCACAATTAGTCAACTCTGCCATCAGAGCACAAAAACCACCATAGACAATACATAAATGAAAGGCCATGGCTGTGTTCCAGTAAAACCTCATGAGACAGACTTGAGCAGCTGGGTTTGGCTCACGGGCCATAGTTTGTCTACCTCTGTTTTGGAACATCAGAGCAATGGGGCCTAGGAACCAGGGAAGGCAGACGTGCCATGGGCAAGTAAACCTAACTCCAAGTAGATGCTTCCCCAAGACCTAGACCAAAAGGCCACCTTCCAGAACCCTCGTGAGCTCTGCAGATACCTGTTTCTAATAGCAGCTGTAAGACAGTGCCTATTACCTCTCTTTCTAACTGCTAAACTTCTCACAGGGAGAAGTCACAGTCTTGGCCTGGTGTGTGAAAGGAAGTACAAGAGGGCCTGCCCCTTACTTGGGATCCAGGAGCCAAGGGGATGGCCCTTCCCTGACCCCAGACGTGGTGGTGGCACCTGTGGATCCCAGGAGAGGATGGGGCCCACAGAGAAGGCAATTGTTGAGGAACAGGAGAAATGTGGTTCCCAAGAGAGAAGGAGGCAGTGGGCCCCCCAGGAAAGAGAGCTAATCACTGCAGACACTGCTCTGTGGGCATGTGTGAGCCGCCATCACCGGGAAGCTTAAGGAGAGCGAGGTCTTCTTTTCCAATCATGGGCAGTGAAGACTGGATGTGCCATTTGCCCAATTTGTGTCCTCCCAGCACCGGCACCCATAGGAAGCCCCGAGGAGGGGTCACCCAAGTGTCCTCCTCCGCCTGACTGCGCCCACCCTGACCTCGATGAGCCGTTGGGCCCGGCCAGTGGACTCAGCACAATGACTGTGGCAGATAGAACCAAGGGCTGAAGTTAGCCAGGCAGAGGAATTGCTTTAATGGCAACCATAAAGCATCATACAGATTTGCTTAGCTTCCTCCCCACCAGGGAGAAAAGCCCTTCGTTGTCGGACATGGTGGAAGAATAACCCTGGCAGATCACCTCAAACCGCTCCACTGAGTAGCCGGCCTCTCTCACCGCAGCCTCTACTGCCTCCCGGCCCAGGCAGAGGCTGGAGAACCTCTGCTCCCCGATCATATAGTAGCTGCTCTTCAGGGCGTCCACCACCACCAGGAAGCCCCCCGGCTTTAGCAGGCTGCCGAGGTTCCTGAGGGCCGCGCAGTAGGCAGGGAGGTCTGGGCAGGCAGCGTCCAGGCACAGGGTGCTGAGCAGACAGTCGGCCGGGGGCAGGGACACGGCACCCAGAGGCCGGCTCTGAGTCACGTCGCACTTCAGGACCTGCTTGACCATGCGCCTCAACTTCTCCTCCTTCTCCAGCCCCTTGCCTCTGAAAGACACAAACCGACAAATACCACTTGCCACCCTACACTCGTGAAAACCAGGATCTCTCTGGTCAGGGCTGAAAATGGCAGTGCTGTCCCAAATGTTATGTCCTTGGGGACACCCCTATGGTAAACACGGAGAAAGAAGAAATGAAGGACCACTTTGGCATATGGATGTGACCATGTTACCGTGTGTGGGGCTAAATCCCTTCACGAAGTGAGTGACAACGTGAAAATGATAATGAGAGTACCAAACTGCCCGCTTCTCCCATGGACCGAAATGGTTCTTCCTCCACTGTTTGGAATAGTGCCTGGCTCATTTATTATTATTACTATTATTACTACTGCTGCTGCTACTTGTTTATTAATTATGATACTTGTCTCCTCTTCCGAACTGTAACATTAGCAGCCATTTGACTGATACATATTAGGCAATGATGACTTTAAAATGTGGAAATAGTATTCTTGTATAGCTGCTGATCAGGGATGGGAGTGGGGTCATCTGTAGACATTTTACAGAAGCAGTGGATAAACCACAACAGAACCGTGGCCAGGGCCCCTCTAGAAAGAAGGGAACCACTAGTTGCCATTCTTGAATCCAGAAACACATTCCAGATGGAGAGTGTGTTTTCTCAAGGAGATCATGTTCCTGGTAGTCTTGCTCAGAAGACTAACCTTTTCTGCAAAATCAGTGGGGTTCCCTGGAAGAAAACCAGTGCATGGAAGAGGCACAGAAGGCGAGGGCCGGAGGTGGAATAGAGTGCCTTAGAATGTGGTAGGGAGGCATGAAGGAACAAGCTGACAGGTGAGCGAACTTAAATAAGCAGATAGAGTGCACAGGAGAAACTGGAGAAAGAAAAAAGGAGCAACAATAGCCGAAAACCAGAGAGGTAAGAGAAAAGCAAGGCTGAGTATGTAAAGTGCCCAGAAGGCCACAGAGCCCAATGATAGGAGTGATGACTGGATATCCAATGCTTTGAGGAAGTCGACCAACAGAGCACCAGCGGTGCAAATCCAGGCTTACACTGTCCATTGGCTCCAGAAGAAGGCAGCCTCTTGGGCAGCAAGGCTTGATGGAGAAAGCAGAGGCTGGCCCAATATCAAAGCAGATGAGAGAGGGACTTGCCCTGGGACCACTTCTGGTCATGAGGAAAAGTCAATGGTTTACATAAAACTTGGAGATTTACCTCCACATAGAATGATTTGAGATGACAGCAATTAGTTGTGAACATCCTATTTAAATATTTAGTTAAAATCTTGAGCCCAGCGCACATAATCAGCTATTTATAAATATCCTTTACGGTATAATTTTCCACTTAAGGGGGATCCCTGGGTGGCTCAGCGGTTTAGTGCCTGCCTTTGGTCCAGGGCACGATCCTGGAGTCCAGGGATCAAGTCCCACGTCAGGCTCCCTGCATGGAGCCTGCTTCTCCCTCTGCCTGTATCTCTGCCTCTCTCTTTCTCTGGGTCTCTCATGAATAAATAAATAAAATCTTTAAAAAGAAAAAAAAAGAAGTTTAGCAATAAGCACATAAAAAAAACTCAAAATTTTTGGCCATCAGAGAAATGCAAATCAAACCATGAGATAACCACTTCACATCCACTTGGATGGCTATAATAAAAAAGACAGACAGTCACAAGTGTTGGCAAGGATGCGGAGAAATGGGAACCTCCACACACTGCTGGTGAGAATGTAAAATGGTCCAGCTACTTTGGAAAACAGTCTGGAAGTTCCTCAAAAGGTTAAACATAGAGTTACCAGACGACTCAGGAATTCCAAGAGAAATGAAAGCATATATCCACACAAATACTTATATATGAGCTGTGGCTCAGTGGGTTAAGCATCTGCCTTCAGCTCAGGTAATGATCTTGGGGTCCTGGGATCAAGACCCGAGTCAGGCTCCTTGCTCAGTGAGGAGTCTGCTTTTCCCTCTCCCTCTGCCTGCAGCTCATCCTGCTTATGTTCTCTTTCTGCCAAATAAATAAATAAAATCTGTTTTTAAAAAAACTTGTACATGAGTAATTATTCAGAATTGCCAAAAGATGGTGATTACCCAAATGTCCATCAACCTATGAAGAGATAAATAAAGGATGGTATACCTGGGCAATGGAATCATACTCAGTCATAAAAGGGAATGAAGTGCTGATTCACGCTACAACATGGAAGAACCTTGAAAACATGATGCTAAGTGAGAGGAACCAGAAACAAAAGGCCACATATCATATGGTTCCACTTACATGAAATGTCCAGAAAAAGCGAAGCTTTGGAGACCAGAAGCAGATCAGTGGTTGCCAGCAGTGACAGGATCTAGAAAATGGGAATGACTACCAATGGGTACAGGGTTTGTTTGGGTAGTGATGAAAATGTTCCAAAACTGGAGTGAAGATTGCACAACTACATGAGTATACTAGGAACTATCAAACTGCACACTTCAGATGGGCGAATCATATGTGATGGTAATTTTATTTTGGGGAAGCTATTGTACGAAGGAGAGAAAGAAAAGTAGCTTAGCAAGGTATTGGCTTCAGGGAATTCCTACCAGCCAGTAGACCAGTATAGACAAGGAATGATAATTACCTTTGGTTGGGTTTACTATTTTTCTCTATCTAGGGTAAAATGGTAGTAGGGTGACCAATTTGTCCTGATTGGTCTGGACTTCCCCGGTTTTCCCACTGAAAATCTCAGGTCCTGGAAACCCCTCTTGGTCCTGGGCAAACAGGGAAGGTTAGTCATTCTAAAAACAGGAAAGTCAGTTACAAAGCTACCTTTCAGCCTCCTGGAACAAGGATGATTTGACAGAATATTTTAAGAATAAAAAAATAACAATGGAACATTATGGAAGTCTGTGAAACACAGATTTGAGTAAGTAAATTAATATAGAATAGAAAAATTCAAATGACCTATCTGCACATATGGATAACTGAGAAATGTAGACAAAAAGCTGAAGGAGTGATAACATGGTATTTTTTTTTTTTTTGAACACATTTCAAGATGATCCTCTATTTTGGGAACACCGTGGGCATGTGTATTTAAGTGATGATGTCAGAAGCAGGTTGGACCTCTGTGCCCTATTGTGTGTTAAACTGTTTGAAAGACATGCCTTACCACAGAACTAGTCCTTGCCAGTCAGTTGATGTTGTAAATTGTTCCCAAATAGGGAGACACACTGTGAAATCTAGAAAGCTCACAAAGAATGTGCCAATTTGAGAAGGAAATTGGCTGGAAAGACCCACTGCGATGGAGACCTGCTGATCCTTGGGTGCACAGCAAATGCTGGGGAACTCAGTAGCCCAAGTAGCTGTGCAAAGATGCCACATCAGAGCTTCTCAGCACCTGCACCATGCCCCCTGCCTGCAGGGAAATGGACTGGCCTGGAGACACAGGCAATTACTGCTCAGCTACACGGTCAGCTCAAGGGGTAGGGCATAAACATACACCAGAAAAGTGTTAGGCGGTTCTACGGGAAGATAATAGCAATATGACTGTTTCTCTAGTTCTGAAGATCTACTCTTTCCAACACATCAGTATGTAAAAAAAGGGCAGCTATTTCCTCTGTAAATATGCAATCCACAAAAGCCTGAGGGAGGTGAGGAGGTAAGGGGAGAAGGGATATAGAGTAGGGCTCCTGGGAAGAGCACTTGGTGAGAGCGTACTCCCACACCCCAAGACAATACCCCGAGGTTCAGAAGAGGCTCCTCCCGCCCCCTTTCTGCAGGGCAGCAGTGGACCAGAAGTCCCTGAATGAGATCTTTCAATGACACTCACCCCCTAAAGCCCCATCCCCAGAGGTTCCAGCAGGCCCTCCTGAGGGAGAACTAGCAAAATGTATAAAGGATACAGAAAGCTACATAAGCTTAGATTTCAATGTAAGAACTGTACAAGCCAGGAATAATAATTAGTAAACCTTTGGCCACAGCCGAATCAGGTAAAAGACAGACATTTCAGGAGGGACAGGCTAGGAAGCAAAATGCATGCAGTTATTTATTTTATAATTTTTTTGAACCTCTGTGATGTGGCAGGAAGAGTGTTGAGCAATAAGGACCCAAGATAGAACAAATGAGAAACAGATCCTCTCTCCATGGTGATTACAGGCTGGGGCGGAGGGGAGAAAGAATTAATCCAATGATCGTCCACAAAAATGACAAATCAATATTGCGATAAACTCTTGGAAGGAAAGGGACATAGCACCAACAAAGGAATGTTGGCAGCTTGACTTGGTCTAGAGTATCAAGGAAAGCTCCAAAATGGAGTCAGGTAGGCAGAGAGAAAATAAACAAAAGTTCACTAGCCCACGGAGAGTAGGAAGGGGAGAATGATATTCCAGTAAGGGGAAACAGCAGGTGTAAAGGCCATGTGGTAGGATGAAAGATGGAGAGAAGGCCAAATGAGGCTGTATCTCAGGAAAAAGCAGAGCATGGTAGAAAATGAGGCAATAGGGATCAGCAGGTGCCAGATTAGACAGGGCTTTGGGGACCATGTTGAGAATTTTGCTTTTTATCCTAAAAGCCATGGGAAGTTATGAAGGGGTGCTAAGGAAGGGAGTGGTGCAATTGGATCTACATTTTGAAGCTATCACTTTGGGACAAGAATGGAGATGGAAAGCCAGTTAGGAAGAAGAGGATAGTGGCTTGGACCAGGAAAATATCCTGATCAGAAAATACTGAAGACATACTGGTTTGAGAGAAACTCAGAAGTAAAATGGATAGAACTTAGTGCTGGTCATGGACTATGACAGAGAGGAAGAAGGTAGGCTTCTAGGCTTCTGGCTTGTTCAAGTAATTATATGATGGCAACCCCCAGGGAGATGAGAATACCAGAAATGGAGCAAATTGGGGAGGATCATAGCTCTATTTGGGGCACTTTTAGACACACTAGTAGAAATGGTTACAATTTGAAGGAAATGGCCAGGTGAAGTTTCCTCAGCCCACCCTATGCATTTTCCCCAAGGGATAGTGCAAGGAGAACATCTACGAGAAAGTCATGCTTTTAAAAGGCAGAAACGTT